TCCATAGTATATGGAGTAATAATTTTATTGGGAGAAATTCCAAACACTCCCTTTGCTGCTTTTATTCCTTTGAGTATTAATTGTCCTACAGCCTCAGGATACCTAGTAAGAATAGTGTTAGGAGAATAAGATAAATGTATCCACAATAATGGACCTTCTTGCCAAAATACTCCTGTAGGAATATTTTTTGTTGGTATTACAATAAATAATAAAGGCAAACTTATATCAATTCTATCCAAATGCATATTTTCCATATATGTTTCAATAATTTTTAATGCCTTTCTTGCTTCAGGCGTTAACATTCGGGGTGAATTTGGATCTGATGGACCTTTTAAGATACCAAATAAATGTCCCAACTCTCCTGTTGGTATGCCTAGATAAGGCCTTATCCAATTTATGTCTCCCAATAACTTTTGAAAGTCATTAAGTGATTTGAGTTGATCTACTCGTATTTGAATTTTTGGTGGTCGGACCATGGTTAAGGATAATAGAACTCCTAAATAATTAATTGGAAAATTTAATTGTACTTTATCTATTGCTATCTCTAGATTATAATTTTTTATAAATTTGTAAGTGTGGCATAACATTCTAGCAATGTGTTTTCATCTTTATGTGCTAGTAATACATCATCCATATAGTGAAATATTTGTAGTTCAGGATTTTGATTTCTAAGTGGCTGGATTGCTTTGTTAACATAAATTTGACACATAGTTGGGCTGTTAGCTATCCCTTGAGGGAGTACTTTGCATTCATATCTCTGATCAGGACCTTCATGATTCAGTGCTGGGATAGTAAATGCAAAACGTGGACTATCCTCAAGATGAATTGGAATTGAAAAAAAAAAAAACAATCTTTAATATCTATAGCTAAAACATACCAGGTTTTTGGCAAAGCAGACAATTGAGGAATCCCTGATTGAGCAGGTCCCATAATAACCATCTCATTATTAATGGCTCTTAAATCTTGCAATAATCTCCATTTACCAGATTTCTTTTTAATGACAAAAATGGGAGTATTATGAGTATTATAGGGAGATATGGAAGGTTGTATATGTCCCTCTGCTAATTGTTGTTTGACAAGGTCATGGGCTACTTGTATCTTTTCTTTAGTCAGGGGCCACTGAGGAACCCATACTTGTCTTTCTGATTTCCAAGTAATTTTGATTCAGTGGCCCCTTCTGAAAACCCAATCCATGTCTATTTATTCCTTGATCTATTTGAATTGGTGCTGCTATACCTTGTTCTTGTTCTTCTAATCTTTTTTCTTTCCTAAAACCTTGTCTAGCCCTAGTAGTGGGCGCGTTAGGATTGATGTTATTTGTTAATGACAAACCTAATTGATCTAGGACATCTCGTCCCCATAAATTTATAGGAAGATGATCCAATACATATGGCTGTATAGTTCCTTCACATCCTTCAGGATCCTTCCAATCTAATACCATTGCACTTCTATGGGGATTAGTTGCCACTCCTAGGCCTCGAAGTGTTTGAGTGGCTTGTTGTAATGGCCAATGTTTTGGCCATTCTTGACGAGATATGATGCTAAGGTCAGCACCTATGTCCAGTAGCCCATTAAATTCATGTCCTTGAATATTTAGTTTTAGCATTGGGCAAGAATCTAAATTTAAAGACAGCATAGCCCAATCTACACCTGTGGAGCCTAATCCCCAGGAACCTCTTTCTACAGTACGACTGGAAAATTTATCATGCAGGCTGGGTATTATTAATAACTGTGCTATTCTATCTCCTGGTGAAATTACTGATATACCTCTTGGAGAACTAGCTATAATTTTTATTTCACCTACATAATTGGGATCAATTACCCCAGGACTTATCATAAGTCCTTTTAGTATAGAAGAACTGCATCCCAATAATAAGCCTACTGTTTCTTGGGGAAGAGGTCCTTTGACTCCTGTGGGAATGATTTGAACTCCCATCTCTGGAGTTAGTACTGCTCTGGCAGAGGTGCAGATGTCCAACCCTGCGCTCCCTCTGGTTTGTCTGATGAGGGATTTAATGGATAATGTGTCCTGGGCACTACCCTGATGGTGTTGCTGGGTTCCTCCACTGCCCCATATATTTGTGCTTGTGGGCCCTAGAGCATTGGGCCCCCCAGTCCGTTTTTTGGCAATGGAGCCTGATGCCTTTCTCCACAATATCGTGGGTAAACACCTGGTCCTTGTCCATTTTTTGATAACGGAGTACCCTCTATGGTGGTTTGAGAACGGCATTCATTAGCCCAATGTCTCCCTCTACGGCATCGTGGGCAAATACCTGGTATTCCACTCCTTTGATACCTAGCTTTGTTAAACCCTCCTCCTATGGGGCAACTCCTTGTAAAATGTCCTGTTTGTTCACAATTGTAGCATGTTTTTGGCCTGGCATCTAAAGCCTGTTGTACTGCAGCTGCCAGGACTTGCCCTTGTTCATTAATGTCTCTACATAATTTGATATATGTGTTTAAATCTCCATGTTTCCATGGTCTAATGGCCTCCTTACACCATCTGTTCGCTTGTTCAAAGGCTAGCTGTTTAATTAATAGAATTGCTTGTTCTGTATCCCCAAAAACTCAGGCAGCTGTTTGAATAAGCCTATCTACAAATTCAGCGTAAGGTTCATTAGCTCTCTGTATTACCTTAGATAATTGACCTTGTAAATCTCCATGTCCTTGTAAAGTCTTCCATGCCCTAACTGCATCTGCAGCAATTTGTACATATATAGCAGGATCATATTCAATTTGTTGCCATTGATCCTCATAAGGTCCTTTTCCTAACAACATATCTAGATTTCTTTGAGGATAACCGGCTGCTGCATTTTGCCTAGCCATTTCCGTGCAAAATTCCTCATTGGCAACCTTCCATAACAAATATTGCCCTCCATTTAGCACAGATTTATACATGCTAGCCCAGTCTGCTGGCGTCATGTCCAAGTTGGTAATGGATTCGACCATGCTTACAGTGAAGGGTGCTTGGGGACCATAGGTTGTTACAGCCTCCTTTAACTGCTTCACTGTTTTGAAATCTAGAGCATGGTGAATTCGCTGCCCTCCTGCCTGCTCAAGTACAGGGCATGCTAATCTTTGAGGTCCTATCTCAGGATTCCATCTATCAACTTCGGGGGTTGAGGGCCACTCAGATATCTCTGTAGGTGGAGCTGTTGGTTGAATTACACCCTCTGGTGATAGAACGGTGTTAGTAGCAGCCTCTTGTTGTAGCTTTTTCCCTAATAGCCCCTTTTCCTTTAAATTTTCTTCCTCTGTCTGACTAGCTTGAGAGACTTTCTCTTTTGCTTGATCTAAAATGTCTTTCTCCATGGTCTGAACCTCTAACAATTTACTTAACACTCTTTCGGTTTGTTTTTTACTAATTTCAAATCTACTATAAAGATAACTCAACCCAATAAGATAACACACACAAAAAAAAACCCGAAACAGAATGAAACAAAAACGGAACAAAAAATCGTTTTATCAATTTTCTCTTCCTCAGGGCCGAACAACTTCAAACCTTGAGCCAACCATTTTTCCCAGTTTGCCTGAGAAAGTCCTAGGGATAGGCAGCTTGAAACAAAAACAAAATAAATCAAAACAAGAACAAATTGTTTTTTGAAATGGTCACCCATTCTCTCGCCTTCCCTCAGGGGCGAGCAATTTCACTTACCTCCGAGCTTCAGGCGTTCCCTGTACAGGCCACAAAATGCTGCAGTCTGGCTGGGCACAAAGTCACGAGCCACTCAAGCAGGAACAAACTTTATTTCTGAACTCCACCAGCACACTCCACACACGCTCCCAGGAAAAATGCCGAACGCCATGCCACGCGGCTCCTCCCAGGACACACACCCCAATAGGAAATCCCTCCTCCAGAATTCCCTCCTACCACACTTCCCCAACAAATGGGAACTCTCCGGGAGTCCCGAGAGAGCTCCAAAGTAGCAGGCCAAGGTGGACAGCAGGGGTCTAATCTCTAATTGAATGCACATCTTAACATAATCATTATCATCTCAATGGTTTGCTGGTGTCACCTTTCAACCAAAAATGCCATGCATCATTCCTACTTGGCTATGGCTCTCAGCAGGAAGTAAGGCAAACCTGATGAGTTTCAGGGTTAACCAATAGTGTTATTCCTTTTTCAAACCTTAATTAGCATAAATTTCAATAGCATTAATACTTTTCCAAATCCTTATTAGCCTAAGTTTGGACTAATAGCAGTGACCCAAGGGCTTATATAAACCCCCAGACTAAGTACACTAGGATGAATAAAACTACTATTGAGTCCCCTCTTATGCTACAAAGTTCTGTTCCTATTCTTCAATAAATCCTGATCTTAGACTCATTCATCCTGGTTTGTGGATTTCATTCTTTGAATTCAAAAGACAAGAATTCAGAAAGAAGAAGAAATTGATGGTGAGCTGCTGGGGTCTGCTGCAACACTAAAGGACATAGGTAGACCCCCACCACCACCTACCAGCAGAAGTGAAGAAACTTCTGTCTTGCCTGCCAACAGAAACAGAGAATCAAGTTTCATCTCAAAACTCCAGTTTCACTAGCTTCTGAACAAATTCTGAATAAAATTTATTATTTATATTGCTATTATTTAACTTAATCCTTTTTATCCTGAATTTCATGTTCATGTTTTTAAGTTTTACAAATAATTGGGTCAAATCAAAAGTTAAAGTAATTTCTAGAACTGGTGGGTTCTCTAGGTTTGTAAATATTTAAAAAAACACCTTAACTTTCAAATTTTCTGCTTCAGTTTAATCTTCATTATGATTTAAAATAACAATGTATATTTTATATCTTTTTATGAAGATTCAATTAGATTTAACTATGGGTTATTTAAATTTGAAAAAGAGAAAATACCTATAATACATATATAAAAAAGAAATCATAAAATATGTTCTTATCTATGATGTGAAAAGATAACCAAGTATCTCATCTTTCTCTTTTTTGTTTGTAAATGAGTTTTTTGACTTTCCAACACTCAATATTTTCTATCATTTAATTAGCTGGATACTTCTCGAACATATTCTCTAGATGAATTTTGTGAAGAACAGTTTCAGCAAACTACTCAGGCACTGAAACAACTTGAAGATATTAGGGATAAAGCAATTTCAAAAGTGAAAAGTACAATCTTAAAGGTAATTGTTTAATTACATCCTCTCAGTTGCTATGTACTAACTGAAGCAATTGCTCCAAATTGCAACTCTGGAGAGTGTTGGAAATTGACAGTGGAGATAAAAGGAGGTTGATTAATCAACTAATGGATACTGCCTATTTATAAGAACCCTTCCAGGTGCCACATAACATGCAAACAAATATGTATGTATATGTTTGTTAATACATATATGTGTGTATACATCCATATGAATGCACATGTACATGTTTATGTATACAACTTAAGGATGCTTAAATCTATAACTTGAGGTGGCATACTGCATGTAAAGGGAAATGTGATTAGTTACAAAGTTCATAGTGTCCATAAGATAAAGAAAAAAACATTGCTCAGGCAAGATGAAAAAACATAACTATATGAAAAAAAAACTTTAAAGAAAATTCAATAGTATAATGATCAATCCTCTCAGAACATTCTCATTCTGTATGCTGTTAGGTATCTTATACACTGTTACAGAAGGCCCCTCTATGTTGAAACTGTAGATACGAAATTAGTATGTTCTTCCTTGTTTGACTTTCAAAATTTATCTACTTGTTAGAGAGATAAGCTTCAAAACACATAAATTATTCTCTTTTTGGCTGATGTTTACATACAGTACAAGCATAAAGTAAAATTTTAATGGAAATTTTTGATCAATTTTAACTCCAATATGTTATTCAGACTAATGAAATACTAGAAACTAGAAACCATGCTGTATTAACATAGGAAATCACACAGTTCTCAATTTTCTATAAAATTGTAGGTTGCAGAAAAGAAAGAAATTAAAGAATATTTTGAATCAAAGTCATTTGAGGGTGAAACAACACATTTCAAGCTGTGTACATATCGGCATTTATTGGAAACAGCTTACAGGTTTATGATGCTGATTGACTGCATACTTCAGGAACTCATCCGTCAACTTATGAACATTGCAGTCACACTACTTTTGGAAGAATTTAATGGTTCTGCTAGAATGCCACTTTCAGCAGAAAAGAAGAATGAAAATCTCATCGGGTAAAGCATGCTTTTTTGACTAATAAAAATAAGTTATCTTGTAATATATTTCTACTTATGGAGAAAATATCCAGTAATTTAAGCTAGAATTTGGAAATTCTCCTTGTAGCAGAGTACTCACGTTTCCAATTATCAAAACTTATTATTTAGTTGTATTTTAATGTTAAAGTTTAAGACAATTTCTAAGTTTCTTCACAAATCTGGTTGCCACAAAGTGCAAGATGTCCAGTGAAATGTGAATTTCAGATAGATAATTTTTGTATGCAGTATGTTCCAAACATTACCTATACTAAAAATTACTTGTTGTTTATCTGAAATTAGAATTTTACTAGATATCTTGTATTTATTTGCTAAGTCTGGCAATCCTATGTTCAGTGCTAGCTCTTAATGATATGTGAGAATGATTTTGGAAAGAGCCACAGGTTCAGTTGAAATTTGAGTCAGCTTCAGGAAATATCTATTAAATATTTCTCCCAAATAAGACAGTATTTGAAAAATAATTCTGACCTTTTATTGAAATACTACTATTAAAAGCAAAGCATTCAAAGCTATACTCCATTTATGTATAATATGTCAAAATGCATTCTATTGTCATGTATAACTAATTAGAACAAATAAAAATATATTTTAAAAAATAAAGCATTTTTTCTTATTTTCTACAAGTGGATCTATCTACTATAACTTGTGAAACAAGGCATATTAATTGAAATGGTTGAATATTTATATCAAAACTATCAAAATTTAGCATTATTATTTTAGTCAAATCAAAGTTTCATTATCATAACTACAGAGCTGAAAATGTATTAATTCATAAAAATTTGGAGAATATTAAAGATAACCTATTCTGTTTATCTAATTATTTCTGAATCCACAGAGCTTATGTCATGAGCTTACTAGCATCTTAACTGGTTTGAACCAGTACCAAGACTTTAGCCTATGCAGGAACATAACTTTTCAGTGATAGCACATTATAATTTTATTTCCTCTAAATCTCTGTGTGTATTTTTTAAAAAAATCTTTACATCCTAAACATAGCTTTTAAACAAAAGATATTAGTATAGATAATTCATCTTACTTTATAAAATTTGGGAAACAACCCCTAATTCCATGACTTAAATATGGTGTCTTTTTGTATGTGCAGTTTTCTAGACTTCTCGACATATTTTTCCATTGTAGTAATAATCCTAGTATAACTCAGTTTTTAAGCACACAATGTCTTGTGTATATTTTATGGTATGGAAGAAATACATAGGTTTTGGTTGAAGTTATTCCAGTTTTTTTGTGTGGATCGGATCACCTGGGTTCTAATCTATATTCTGTGTCTTGACTAGTTTCATGACTTAGGTTGCCTATTAACCTATTAATTGTGCTGTCTTTTTATATTGAGAATTCTTTGTATAATTCTGGATTCTGTGGGTTTTCTTTTCACTTTCTTGATAGTATTCATTGGAACACAAAAGTTTTAAACTTTTATGAATTTTATTTATTTATTTTTGATTTATTGTGCTTTATGTGTATCTAAGAAGTCATTCCCTAATCTAAGGTCATGAAGATTTATACTTGTTTTCTTTTTGTAAAATTTTATAACTTCAAATCTTGCTTTTAAATATTTAAGTTAGTTCTTTTGATTAATGTGATAGGGGTCCAAACTCATTCTTTGGCATATGAATATCCAGATGTCCCAGCACTATTTGTTGAAAGGAAAATACCATTTCTTCATTGAATTGTCTTGGCATACTATTTGACAGTCAGATGACCATAAACATATGGATTTATTTCTGGATTCTCAATTTTGTTCCATTGGGATGCATATATATATATATATATATGCTGATGTCACACTACCTTGACTATAATAGTTTTGAAACCGGAAAATGTGAATTTTCCAATGTTGTTGTTCTTATTGTTTTGGCTATTCTGATTCACTTGAATTTCTGTATGTATTTTAGAGTCAGCTTGCCAGTTTCTGCTAAAAGCAACTGGGATTTTGATAGAAATTGCATTAAATTTGTAGATTAATATTGGGTGTATTTTCATACCAAGAGTATATAGTCCTCCAATCCATGAACACGGAATGTCTTTCCATTTACTTAGTAGGACTTCTTTAATTTCTTTAATAATGTTTTGTAGTTTTCAGTGTTTGAGTCGTTCCTTCTTTTGTAAATTTATCATAAAAAATTTGTTCTTTTCATGCTATTATGAATGGAATTATTTTTTCATTTTTGAATGTTCATTGCTCATTGATTGAAATACATTGATCTTATACCCTGCAATCTTGTTGAACCTGTTTATTAGCTCTAATATCTTGTTTTGTTTTATTTTTTCTTATTCCCTGGGATTTTCTATTTACAGGATCGTATCATCTACAAATAGAGATAATTTCACTTCTTCCTTCCCAATAAGATGCCTTTTATTTTTTTGTTGCTTTATGGTCATAGCTAGTAAGTACTTTAGTACAATGTTGATTAGGAGTAATGGATTAAACATCCCTGTTTTGTTCCTGATTTGGGGGGCACCTTATTCTTTTATTATTAAGCATTATGCCACCTGTGAGTTTTTAAAAAATACTTTTTATCAGTTGAGGAAGTTCACATCTAGCTTTATTTGTTGAATGTTTTTATCATGAGGTATTGTTGGATCTTGTCAAATACTTTTTTTCTGTATCAATTGAGATAACTATGTGTTCTTTGTTCAACTAATATGGCAAATTATGCTATATACATACATTTTCATAGGCTGAATCAACTTTGTATTCTTGGGATAGGTGTAATTTTATTATAGTGTAAAATCCTTTGTATATGCTGCTGGATTTGGTTTGCTAGTATTTTATTGAGGTTTTCTTCTTCTATGAATATTGGTCTATAGTTTTCCCATGATGCCTTTGGTTTTGGCCTCAGGGTAGTAGTGATCTCAAAGAATAAATTGGGAGGAGCTACCTCCTTTTCTATCTTTGGGAAAAAAATGGGAAGAATTGGTGTTAGTTCTTTCTGAAAAATTGGTAGAATGTCCCTGTTATGGTTTGAATGTGTCCCCGCAAAGTTCATGTGCTGGAAACCTTATCCCTGATGTAACCAGGTTAAGAGGTAGGATGTTTAAGAGTGACTAGGTCATGAAGGCTCTATCCTTATGAATAGATTAATGTCATTATTTCTAGAGTGGGTTACTGACAAAAGAATGAGTTCAGCCCCTTTCTCTTCTCTGTCTCTGTCTCTCTCATGTTCTCTTGCCTTCCATCATGGGGTGACATAGTCAGAAAGCCCTCACTAGATGCAGGCCCCTTGACATTGGGCTTCTTAGTCTCCAGAATATTAAGAAATAACTCTCTATTATTTATAAATTACCCAATCTCAAGAGTTTTGTTATAGTAGCACAAAACGGACTAAGTGTAGGCCTGGGCTTTTTTGTATGTAAAGTGTGTTAGTCAGCTTTTTGTTGCTATGACAGATACCTGAGAAAATGAACCTAGATGAGGAAAGATTTTGTTTTGGCTTGTGGTTTCAATGCATGGGCAGCTAGCTCCATTGCTTTGGGCCTGATATGAGGCAGAGCATCATGATGAGGCATGACAGAAGAAAGTTGCTTACTCATGGCAGTTAGGAAACTGACAGTGGGGATGAAAAATATTCTTCTAGGCCATGCGCCTAGTGACCTACTGCCTTTGAGTAGGTCTCCCCTCCCAGTAGTACATTCAGATATTAATGAATGCATGCACTGATGAGATCAGAGTCCTCATGATCCCAATTACTTCCAAAAAATCCCCACCACTGAACACTGCTACATTAAAGACTAAGCCCTCAACACATGAATCTTTGCGGGACATTTCAGATCCAAACCATAACAGGAAGTATTACAATCATCTGTTAAATTGCTTTATTTGTTATTGATCTATTTATATTTCTTCTTGAGACATTTTGGTATTTTTTGTCTTTCTAGAATTTTGTCTATTTTATTTAAATTATCTAAACTGTTAGCATATAGCTGTTTATAATACTTACTCATTATCTTTTAAATTTCTATAAGGTCAGTAGTGATATCTTCTTTTTATTCTAGAGTTTAGTAATTTGGGAATTCTCTTCTTCTTCTTTTTTTTTTCAGCCTAGCTATCAGTTTATCAATTTTCTCAATCATTTTAAGCAACCAACTTTTGATTTTATTGATTTTATTTCACCTTTTCTCTATTTCACTTATTTCCATTCTAGTCTTTATTATTTCTTTCTGCTTGCTTAGGCTTAGTTTGTTTATTTTCTCTTTTTTAGAAGTAGCAGTTTAGATTATTTAGTTGAAATCTTTTATTCTTTTTTAATGTAATTTTTATAGTAACCAATTTCTCTTCAACACTACTTTCACTGAACAAGGAGTTTGGTATATTACATTTTAATTTTCATTAACTTTCTTCATTTAATTTTTATGCTGATTTCCCCTGTAATTTCATATTTGACTCACTGGTTATTAAGGAGTGTTTTCTATGTAAGATTGATTTTTTTCTTCCTTTTTTTTCTAACTCAACAGTGTGATTCTTTTCCTCATTTTTTTCTAGAAGTTTTGTGCTTTTTGATTTTATGTTACATTTATGCACGTTTTCAAGCAAAATTTTGTAAATTGTTCAAGGTGTGGTCTGAGGTATATATTATTTTGCATATGGGTATTTAGTTACTCCATCTGTTTCCCAAAATAACTATTCTTCCTCCATGGAATTGCCTTGGCAGCTTGTTCAAAATTAATTAATATTTTTGGAGTCCATTTCTGAACTCTCTCTTTTGTGCCAGCGATCTGTAGATCTATCTTTTTACACATACTTTACAGTCTTTATAACATCTTAAAATCAGTCCTCCAAGTTTGTTTTTAAAAATTCTTTAAAGTTTGACTATCCTCATTCATTTGCTTTTCCATATAAATCTTAGAATTAAATTGAAGTTTTCTTTTTTAGAAAATGGCCTGTTATTACTGAGATTTCAATTGAGAGTGCACTGAATCAATAGATCAATCTTAGGAGATTTGAC